AAGAAAACGATTTTTTTAAAGATCGCTTCATGGAGTTTATTTAATCATTCTTGTCTCAAAGACCTGATTCAAGTTATTGAGCATATATGATATCTGATTCCTTGACCGTCGTAGGGCGAGCCATGTTTTTTGGTGAAACGTTTCAACCTTTTTCGATTAACTAAGCGGGATAGTTCACTTTGGGGATAAACAGGAAATTGAAAAAAGTTTAAAATTCATAACCGTTTCACCGCTTTAGTGTTACATGCATATTAACAATATGGAATTTGTAAAATGTGTTCAATATACTTTCTAAACCTCGAATCTAACGCTATGAGAACGTTCTTTTTTTTAACTCGTGGCGTTTAGCGATAAATTTTGAATAGTGACCCGCCTTTCATAATTTTAAGAGAGAAGCACTGTTTCGTTGATATATACAAGTAGATTTAGAGTAGAGGTCCCGATAGTGTAATATTTAGTGTGTTGGAATTTCATGCTGGCGACTTGTGTTCAGTCCCCCTTGTGTGCAAATCTTTTTTACTTTTTCAGCTCGATTTTAAGTTTTCTTTCTGGAATCGGACGGAAGACCTCTCGTTGCTCGCAACGAATTTCATATCTAGTTATTATTATTATGTCGCCCCGAACGAAGTCGGGGACGACATATTGCGATTGTACGCATGTTTTTTTTATCCAGGCTGTTTCTCGGAGATGGCTGGGACAATCTTCCTGAAACTTTCCTCAAAGGACGATCACTGGTTGTAGTTGTGCAGTGAGGTCGTTCAGTTCCAATATGTCTACCGTTGCCATGGAAACCTGTAAAAATCGACGAATTTTGTCCACGAGTGTTCTCTCTGGTCCCTTAAACGTTCGTCATGAAACTTTTTTTATTTTAATGAATAGTATCTGTAGTTGTGCGATTTGCATTTAAAATTTTCAAATAATCGATTATTGCCATGGAAACCAGGGGAATGTTAAAATTCTTTAATTTCGATTTTCTCAATAACTACTCAAGCAATCGTTTTGAAACTTTCAATGTTAATTCCTTGCAATGTGTCAAAGTGATTTCTACTTTTAAAATAATTGTAATGAGTCGCTCACAGTTGTCATAGAAACGAAACAGAAAAAAGGTTAAGATGTACACATGTGTTCTCCAAGGTCTAGGTCAAAGGGTCAAAGTTCTTCGTGTCCAATAAAAGTTCTTTTCACAAGGATTACATATTTGAAATACGAAAGCCCTAGCCCTTACCGTTCAAACGTAAGGTACTATGTTCAAGACGACCCCCCCCCCCTTTTGAAGCGCACTGCCAGGTAGAATACACAGATATAACATATACAACTTACAAGTAACGTTTTAAAAGTTTCATTCATAAAATTCAGTTCTCCTGATGTGATTTGATAGTTTGCCAACATTCATTCTTCTTCTGTCTTGTCTCTAGATTTTATAATTATTTTATTTTATCTATATAAAAAAATAACGATTATCAGCTGCATTTATTAGCTTTTCGCGTTTTCTTGTATATCTATTACTTGTATATTATTAATTTCATTAGATAGTGCAAGTATAAATTAGAAAATTGGTACGTTATTTCCATAGTTTTTATTCATTCATAAATCCTTGGATCCACTCCTGCAGGTCCGCTCCTGCAGGTGCGCGAAGCCTTGATCGCTACTGTAAACAAAACATTCATCTCGCCGAAAATGTTTATGATTCCGCTAAACTGAGAAAGTTTACACATGATTTATCATCTCATAACAAACATCAGCCCTGTGCAATGCAGAAATGCTCGAATTGAAGATGGCATGTCAGATTCGTTTTGCGGCAGAACCTCTAAAAATGAAAGTGAAAGAAGGGAAATTTCAGAGTTCTCACTGGGTTATAATACACAAAATAATTCAGCTGATCTTCTTAATAAATTACATTTGCCAAGCTTTTTTGGTAGGAAAGATACTGCCAATTAACAAGTATGAGGATCAGTTCAGTACATCTGCCCAATTTCTTTTATGCAAGTCTGCAAATTTAGGAACTTATAATTTTTTCCTGCACTACTTTCTTCTCCTACCGATTCTAAAAATAATTAGTGGGATGTACCCAATTAAGGTCTTCCGTTTCCAACGGAAAGGACTGATAGGACTCAATGGTTGTCCAAGCTTAGCTAATGGACCATTGTTTTAGTGATGATAAAAATGAAAGTCTTGTCCGGTACGGGGCGACATATACTATTGCTTGCAATAGCAGACTTTCTAGTTATTATTATTTTTCTTCTTCCTGGGAAAATCTTTTCCGCGAGTGATCTTGTAAACTACACATCCAACTTAGGTGAAACCTTTTTAGGGTCAGTAGGCATGTTATTTAGATTTGCGGAACGAAGGTCATTTTGCGTGCACGTGCTTGCAAGAGCGTGCACGTGCAACACGTGAAATGACCAATATAATGGATATAGCCGAATCTTTTCTATTCCTTGATGAAATGTTTTGAAACTCATAATGTAAGGATATATTAGTATTACAGACAATATGACATGGTCAAAATAGCAAGATCTCACGCGCATGCACGTGCGCTTCGCTCTGATTGGCTGAAACTTATAAAGTCTCAATATCTTTATTGTTTTTTGATGAAATCCTTTGAAATTTTGAACATAGTCATGCAGTAGGATATCCTACAACATGACATATAGCAATTATCATGAAAACACGTGCATGCATGTGCGCTGCAATCTGATTGGCTTAAACTTTAAACAGCTATAACTCCCTTGCTTTTCAACCAAACAGGATGGGATTTGAAACATAGATAGATATAATGGACTTCTACAAGGAGGTATCGTCACCATGCACATGCATACACGTGCGTGTACGTGCGCTGTAATATGATTGGCTGAAACTTTAAACAGCTATAACTCCCTTGGTTTTCAACCAAACAGGGTGGGATTTAGAACATAAATAGATGTAATTGACTTCTACAAGAAGGTACGGCCACCATGCTCATGTATGCACGAGCGTGCACGTCAAATGAGTAAAATCAAAAATACTCTTGAATGAGCGTATTTTTTAATAGTTTTGGATTTAATACTTTAATATTTAGTATATTGAAATATATAGATTGTGTAGACAATATGGTCATTACGCACATGCATTCACATGTAAATGCGTGCAATGCTAAAATTTGAATGAACTTGGTACACTTCTGGGTAAACGTTGTTAAAGTCTCAAATGCATAGGGTTTGTCTTATTTAATGAAGCTTACATAGAATATGGCACCAAAAGAGATATGGGGAGCGTTTGGGGAACATCTGTAACGGTCCCCGTTACAATTAGCACTAGTTTATTACATTTTGCGTTTACATTGAAATATATAGGGAAAAACTTTTAAAATCTTCTTCTCAAAAACTACTGAGCCAGAAAAGCTGAAACTTATGTGGAAGCATCCTCGGGTAATGTAAATTTTGAATTGTTGAAATGATGACCCCCGAGGGTAAGGCAGGGCCACAATAGGGAATCCAAGTTTTACATTGAAGTATATATGAAAAAACTTTAAAAATCTTCTCAAGAACCACTGGACCAGAAAAGCTGAAACTTATGTGGAAGCATCTTGGGGTAGTGTAAATTCTAAATTGTTCAAATCATGACCTCGGGGTAGGGCGGGGCTACAATAGGGAATCCAAGTTTTACATTGAAGTATTATAGGGAAAAAACTTTTAAAATTTTCTTCTCAAGAGCCGCTGGGCCACAAAAGCTGAAACCCCTGGGGAGCCCTGGGGATTGGGCAAGGTCAAGATAGGTATTACAAGGGGGAATCTGTTAAATATCAAAATGGCTAAAATTAATCAGGTGAGTGATGAGCCTCTTGTTTTGAATTACAGTCAATTCTCGATAAACTGCTACCTTTTGTAATTTAGAAATCATGGCGGTATAACGAATTTGGCGATAAATTGAATTTCCCATTTTTTAGAAAACAAGAAATAGAGTTACCGTCCTTAGAAATACCATTTAGCGTTTCTTTTCTTATTATTACATGTACATGTATATAAAAAGATATTTCTGATTGAAGATACTTCAAATAAATTTTTTAATGTACAATTTCGCTAAAACAAAATGTGCTGTAATAAAATAAAGACAAGTACTTGTGTATGCATGTAAATCTGCATGTCTGATATTGAAAAAAAAAACGTGCTGGGTCAATCGTTGTGATATATTGCCGATGGTACGTAAAATGAATTCTTGAATAAATTCATTGTATATGGCATCATTGTTAATGAAACGTTCACAATTTATACCGTATAATTATTTTTTCAGCAAACTTTGCATTGTTTTAAACAGAGATCATCAGAATAATATCGTTATCGGCGTACTTCAACAACGACCGCTTTCTTGGCGAAGCCAGGACTAAATGATTTTTATCAAACAGAAAACAAAATTATTATAACAGTTCATATTAGAATTATTGTTTATTTAATTCTTGTTTAATTACTTAATTGCATGTACCTTGTCTGCCTTTGCATGCTTTACAACATGACCACATGCACCTGTGGCAGTATATTGAGATAATTGACACTTAAAAATGGACGTTTCTTGTGAAAATATGGTGGCGGATGGCGGTATGCGAATTTGGTGTCATAAAGAGAATTTTATATAGCAGGAAAAATGTTCATGGGAAATAATGGTGGTATTGCAAAAATGGCGATGAATCGAATGGCGATATTTTGAGAATTTACTGTACTTCAAAATTGCATGATAGCAATTGTGCCAAGTAAGGCTTTTATATTTCAGATATGTACGCCTTGTGATAGATCTTTCAATTTTGTCTTCATGCATAGCTTCGAACTTGACCTATTAGCTGTTATTCTGAACATTGGTTGTAGGGCTTATTTCACGTGCATAATTCATATGACAAGATTTTTCCTTGGGCATTTTTTTTTACCTCATGTCCTTGACCTTTGAATTTTTCCTACTTTTGTAAAACTTTATCCTTGACAGTAAGCCATATAAGTGAAGCAGTTTAAAACAAACACTTTTTCATTTTTCAGATACTGCTTATGCAGAGAACAAAGATGATGGCGAGTGGTATTATTTTGATGATTCTAGTGTCTCTTCATCATCAGAGGATGATGTGGTTGTAAGTAATATCCAGCATGCATGCCTCTGCTTCCACATGATATACACAACTCCATTATATAAGTATCCACTTATCAAATAGGGCTACTCCACAATTTTTCTATTCAGTCATTCACTTATTTCAAGTAAATTTGAAGTATTTGAACATTAAAAGATGTAATAAAATGAAAATAATAACAACCAAATTAAAATATCTATATAAGTTTATTTTGACATACGAGGGGTGATCAAAAAGTTCACAAACTAATTGATTAACTTCTAGAAAAAGAAATGACAAAAGGTTTCGGTATTGAAATTTTTTTAAAGTAGTCCTCCCCAATTTAACACCCATCTACAACATGATCTAGGCGGTCAGATAACATGCTTTGTAACATTCTGTCACAGAAGCTAAAAGAATTTTACGACTCTGGCGACCATTTCGTGAACAGGTCGTAGCTCATAAACTTAGACGTAAACTTGAATGTAGCACTTAAGTGCATTTCACAAAGATTTTATCATTTACGATTTGCAAGTTACGATTATAAAGTTGATTGTAAGTCCAAGAGCAGTCAGGGGCACTCTTAAAATACTTACGTGCAAGTAAATTCATAAAAAAATTTAAAATGATCACTTTCTTACATTAGAACTGTCTGCTTCTACAAGTTTTCTGTGTATGCTGAGTCCAATCTCAAAATGCAAATTAAGTATCATCACAAATACATGCATTTTATTTTTTCAATGAAATGAAATAACTGTTACAATGTTAATATTTAAGTAAATGTTTTGTTTGGTTGCATCTTAGTTTCATTCATTAAAAAAAATATAATAATAATGAGAAATTATATTTTCACTGTACATGTTTATAAGAAAATTGTGAATACCTCTTAATAGATCCATAAAATATTTGTGATTGGTACCTTCTCTGAAAACCCAGGGGGGGGTGTACAAGTTTTCTTTGCAGAGGTTGCACATATTGAAGTGAAATTTAGTATACAGATTTATCATAACAATATCTAGGTCAAGTTTTGTTTTGGATTTGATCAAGTTATGTCCCTTGGACTTAGAAAAATTCCAATTATTTGGGGGAGGGGGGCATAAGTGTTTTACAAACATCTCTTATTATTCTTTGGTTTCTTCTATTTAAACAATAAAATGCTTTCTTTAGTTGTTAGTATGGGAATGAATGTTGCAGCTGCTGCAGAAAAAATACATAACCCACCCGCGTGAGCGGGTTATGTAAATTTTTTCTGCAATAGATGCGACATTCATCCCGTACTAACACCCAAAGAAAGACATTTTATTGTTTATATTTATATCTGTTTAAATAATCATTTGAAGTAGGATTAAAAAGATTAATTATTGCATTATAAATGATGTGAATGTCTTTGTACATGTACGTTTCATTGATGGAACAGACACTGATCCAGAAATCTGTACAGGTGACATGACATGCCTAGTGTAGTTCTGTTCATGCACTGATTAACGCAATGGTTTTTCTTAAGAAATAAAGGAAGGAATATTCAGTGGATGTAAATATTAATAATAACACACATTCACAAAAAAGAAAGTATAATTTGTCCAAACCAAATGCTGCCATTTCCATAAAATTTTGCCAGTTTAGACAGAATCCGGAGTGCTGGAAAAATGCAGGAAAATATGTAAAATTTTCTTTTGTTTACTTCTTTTATTTACAAATACAATGGTTGTTTGAAAAGTTCCTGGACTGATGTGATAAAATTGATACTATGTAGTTTATGCTTACAAAATTTTTAAGGAACATAAAACAACGAAAGTTAAGATAATGCAGAAAACTTTACATGTAGCTTGATACCTTAAATACAAAATTATCATACAATAAAAAGACATTATATTAGGGCTGGGTATTGGCCCGAGATTTCGTATTGCGATATATTGCGATATTTGTAACTCTATTGCAATATGTATTGCAATATTTTAAATGTAATTTAAATGGTATTTTCTTACTACACTATATTTAATTTAATTTACATGCAGAATGTACATAACTATGATAAGTAACCAACACTGACAAAAAAACTGTTGATTTCATTAAAGTTATGCTCTGAAAAGTTCCCTCAAAACAACTTCTGTCGTACTGTTTGGCTTAATAACAAACTTTCATGAGTCCATTTTTATTTAATTATACCTGGTAATGACAAAATTCCTCAATCTAAGCATATTGCCAATATATCGATATTACAAAATCACATTGCAATACCATATTTTTTGTCATTGTATTGCAATATATTGAAATATCGATATTATTGCCCAGCCCTACATTACATGTTCACCCAGCGCAGTCGCATGTTTTTGCATGATGCATTGTTTCTCAATGTCCGCATTCTCTACCTTTTACACTTAGGCCAGATAAATTTATCTCTCATGAGATATTGCCATTTCCAGTGAAGGTCCTGTCGCGAGGGGATGCTCTGCTTAGCGGTGCCCTTGTTAAAGTATGTAACTCGTCAGCTTTTTTGAATAGTTCATGCAGATCCTATTGCTTCAAAACTACTTATTAAAATTCCATTTTTATAACATTTTTAAATACAACAATGCTAATGTTTTAACATTCAACGAAAAAACTGCTCAAAAAACTACAAAGAAGCAAGATTTATCTGCACATTAATTTATTAAATTTAATATCTTGGAACTTTAGCCTCACATACTTTTACTCAAAGAATATTATCCGTTATGACATTGTGAGGATTATTTAATATAGGTCTTAATTTATATTTTTAGAAACAAGTTTTACACCTTCCTTCAACAAACTTTGCCAAAAAATGAAGATATGTCAAATAAGTCTAGATAAAATTTATACCATTTTTCGCCTGAAAATTACATATTCTGACCAATATTTCAAAATTATCGTCACTGAGTTCAACTTTTTCTTTCATTATTTTAAAGTACTTGATACTTGTGACTGATCAGCACTTAAGTTGTTAAAAGCTTGATTTAAGAAAAGGTTTTATTGCCTATTTCGTTTTTAATACCCCAAATATTTTACTTTTTAGTGCAAAAAGGTCACAAAATAATTTATGTGCATGAATTTGCGAGATTTGTTCAATGATAACTTTGTCAATAACGTTTTTGGATTTTGATACTCTGAGGAATGTGTTCAGTGAACGTGCAGATGAAACAAAGATCCTGAGAGTATCAAAATCCGAAAACATTATTGACAAAGTTGTTGCTTATTTGAATGCACAATGAGAAAATTTACAAATTTGTACTATGTATTTACTATTGATGTGAATATTAGAGATATCCCAGGTCCAGATATTGAGGGTAAAATACATAAAAATTACCAGTAAGTGGTTGGATCTTCCAACTTTTTCTCTCGAAAAATGTTATTTGCTGGAAGTTTAAAGGTCAAGGTCATTGGGGTCACTCTATAGATGTGCCTCCTCATGTTTCACACTTCTTTAGTACATATAATGGATATCAAAAGAAAAGTCTCATGCAGGTAATTTTGCATTTTTTCTTTGTGTTTGATAAAAAAAAAGGGGGGGGGGGTAAAAGCAGCCTGCACTGACTTTATCAATATGGAAAGGTATACATTTTTTATGTTTATCAATTTGTCAGATGTTTATTTACTTACTTTAAAAAGAATTATTAGCTGAGATGAATTCACAAACATGACCCATACAATGGAATCAGGAATTTGTTGTCATGTTTGTGAATTCATCTCAGCTTTGATAGACTAAGGGAACAATGAACAAGATTCTTCAATGTTTGGGATGAAATAACTTTAGACTCCACTAAGGAGTCTAATGATGATTTGCATGCATAGTATGACAGAGCGAACACATCATCTGAAGATGACATATTAGACATTGTTTTCTCGTAGAGTTGCTTAAGTGATTGTGTGCATCTTAGATGTGATTTTACTAAAATCTATAGCTTAAAGTTCTCTACATCAATCCCTTTTTTCCAGCTTTTTTGCAAGTTCCATTGTATCAAAAAATTCAGAAACATTTTCTTTGAAATGTTCCAATAAACCATATTTTGCCAGCTGATTCACCAGGACTGGGACATCAAAATTCTGTACATTGTGGCCATGCATGCAACCAAAATGGGCTTGAAAAATTTCTTTAAAAACTCAAGGAAATATCTAAGACCATCCTCTGGAGAAACTGATGTAACTGTTTGTCCTTCATGTTTTAGTACTCCACCAATGTATGTCAGCCGAGTGGCCGCAGAAGCTTCAAGACAAATCTGAGTTGTTGGTCGCATATAGACATTCATCTCTTAATTCCCTGATACTGCAGCAATCTGTAGAATATCTGATGTTCTGGCTACAATTATAATTTAGCCAATTAGAACTTACAATGCAAAAATGTAAATTTACATATACCAACAAATAAGAAAGATACTATTTGCAAGCTGAAAAAAATAGTAAACTTACCTAGCCAAAAGTGAAAAAATATCATTGTGGACTATGATCTGGAGAAAGTTCAAACTTTGTCTTGCTTCAAATCAAAGTCCTGGAGATCAGCATGATCTTGAAAAGCAATCTTTGATTGGTAGGTTTCACCTGTTCAAAAAAGCAAAAAAGTGAAAATGGAAAAATATGTGTATCAATTAATTAATGTCAACAATATCAGTAATGTGGTTTTGAGTGAATTACCCAGCTAGGGGACATGGTGCACTTCCTGTTCAGCTTTAATAAAATTTTATTTAAAAATGTAAATTTGAAATATGTATTTGAGTTCATTAAATAATGAGACTTATACGTCACAGAGGGGTACATCCAATATTTCAAATTCTAGAAATATTTGACAAGTAAATAACAGATCAACAAATACACACAATCTGATCATCAAAGTTAAATTAACAACTTTTTTGTGTTATGTTTGGGATGATTAATGCCGCAAGCATATTTTTACGTGAGTTTCCCCAAAACCCCCATTAATCATTCCTAAAATTAAAAAAAAAAATTTAAATCTTAAAGGCAAACACGCCTGTAAATGAAGAAATTGCCATTCACGTATTACGTTATTTTTCCACTGTACGAGAAGTTAGGGATATATTATATTCACATACCTGTAGCTAACTTTGTTTTGACATCCCAGGCTTGGCCACCATTTACTTTAGCATGTTTAGTGCCAGTTGGTATATCATTTATAAAACCACACTCAAGATATTGGCATTTAACATGTAAAATTTGGGCTAAACCAATTTTTTTTCACCCACACAATTTAAGAGATGTAATGGCTGACTGCAAAGATAACATGCTTTAAGTCCATCACCCAGGGTCTCCAATTCTACCACTCTTCTTCCAATACTCCATTCTCTTCTCTTCTAAATTATCCGAGGTCACATCTTCTTGTCTAGCAACATGATGTACAACGTGTTCATCGAAACTTTCTAACCTTTTAACATTATAATCATGGTCAATTATATGGACGGCCGTAAAAGGAACAAAATCCTATGGAAAACGAGATTTTCTGCCTTTATTCAAGGCGATTACTTAATGTTTATGGCCCTTTTTACAAACCTCCACTTTTTATTTCGGTCCATATTAAAACTGGAAATGAAGCACGATCACTAATAAAAGAGTCAATACGGTCGGAAAATATTATTACAATTTTGTGACGTCATGCAAGTATGGAAATTCCTTAAGGTAGGACACAATAGAAAGGCCAAACTTTTCCTAAAAAACAATTTTTCTGAAACTTTGATATTTTGCTCTACTAGGATACAAAATCTCTCTTTATATATGATATGAAAGAAATTCAACCTCAAATTTTTTGCCCACATAGTCTGAAATATGGTCTATCAGACCCCTGTAAGAAGGTTGTGAAATCAGACAGTCGACTTGAGAATGAGCCTTATTTAGGGGCCACAATGACCGATCAAAGTTTTACATAGGAATATATAGGGAAAAAATCTTTAAAAATCTTCTTCTTGAGAACAGCAAAGCCATGATTGGTCATATTTATGTAGAAGCATCCTCAGGTTGTGTACATTCAAATATCTTCAAATCATGACCCCCGGGATAGGGAGGGGCCACAATGGCCGATCACAGTTTTACGTAGGAATATATAGGAAAAATCTTTAAAAATCTTCTTGAGAACAGCAAAGCCATGATTGGTCATATTTATATGGAAGCATCCTCAAGTTGTGTAGATTCAAATTTGTTCAAATCATTACCCCCGGGGGTAGGGCAGGGCCACAATGGCCAATCAAAGTTTTACATAAGAATATATAGGAAAAATCTTTTAAAAATCTTCTCCTCCCAAGAACAGCAAAGCCATGATTGGTCATATTTATATGGAAGCATCCTCAGGTAGTGAAGATTCAATGTTGTTCAAATCATGATCCCCAGGGGTAGGGCAGGGCCACAATAGCGGATCAAAGTTTCGCATAGGAGTATACAGGAAAAATCTTCTCAAGAACAGCAAAGTCATGATTGGTCATGTTTATATGGAAGCATCCTCAGGTAGTTTAGATACAGATTTGTTAAAAATCATGACCCCCCAGGTTTGGGTGGGACCACAATAAAACTTCAAACTTATAGGAAAGAAAGCCACAGTTAGTCAAAAAAATATGTAAGATCCTTATTGAGTGTAGATTCAAGTTTGCATAGATAGAAGTTTGTTCAAATCATACCCCCCTTTATTAGGATCGGGACCACTTAGGTATTTATTGAATTGAGTTTTTGTTCCTGGCCACAGTGCTCAGGTGAGCGATGTGGCCCATGGGCCTCTTGTTTTCGAAATGACACCAATATTTTATCTTAAATCAATAAACAAATATTTAATACTCCCTTTAGATACAAATAAAATCATTAAAATATGTAAATACTTGTGTATTATGTAAGAATACATAAATTAACATACATATCCAGACATTAACTTAGGTAATCGTCGGAAATGCACATAAAATGCTACATTTCAGCATCTGGAAAAATACTTATCTTTTATGACTCGCCTATAAGTTGGACATAGAGTTAAAGACCAAAATTTAACTCTGTAAAGACCGACTTATAGGGGAGTATATATGGTATATCTATGGAGGGCACATCAAAACCAAAATAAACATTCAATTCCATGAAAAATAGTGTTGAATACAGTGAAGATATTTGGTAGTTTTAACTTTTTAAATGACAATAAGTAACAGTTCTGTTTCTTTATTTCAGTCAAAAGCAGCATATGTTCTTGTGTATCAAAGACAGACATTAGCCCAACCATCTGATGAACATTTAGTAAAAGATGAAGCTATGGAGACAGAATATACAAGCTAGCTAGGAAAAGTTCTAATTGGAGCAAGTGGAGCTCAACCAGTTTGCAAAAATGCAAATGAACAAGCTCAAAATTAAAGTGTTTACAGGATTACTCAAGTTACATTGCCTGAAATTATAACTGTCAGTTGATTTTACCCCAAGTCGATAACAGTAATCAGTATAAACTGTCATTTTATCAGAACATCTTTTTTTAAAAATCATTCTTGCTACCACTTTGTAATTGCATGGTTGATACAGACACAGCTCTTGAACATTTAGTGTAAAATAAAGTATGTTTTTCCTCATGATGTTTTATTGTGTTTTGATCTAGACTCGAGGTTTCTGGAGAGTAATGACCTAGACTTAGACCTCAAGAATCACAGTCCTATGTCATAAAGGGAGTGGAGAGTAATGACCTAGACTTAGACCTCAAGAATCACGGTCCTATGTCATAAAGGGAGTGGAGAGTAATGACCTAGACTTAGACCTCAAGAATCACGGTCCTATGTCATAAAGGGAGTGGAGAGTAATGACCTAGACTTAGACCTCAAGAATCACGGTCCTATGTCATAAAGGGAGTGGAGAGTAATGACCTAGACTTAGACCTCAAGAATCACGATCCTATGTCATAAAGGGAGTGGAGAGTAATGACCTAGACTTAGATCTCAAGAATCATGGTCCTATGTCATAAAGGGAGTGGAGAGTAATGACCTAGACTTAGACCTCAAGAATCAGTCCTATGTCATAAAGGGAGTGGAGAGTAATGACCTAGACTTAGACCTCAAGAATCACGGTCCTATGTCATAAAGGGAGTGGAGAGTAATGACCTAGACTTAGACCTCAAGAATCACGGTCCTATGTCATAAAGGGAGTGGAGAGTAATGACCTAGACTTAGACCTCAAGAATCAGTCCTATGTCATAAAGGGAGTGGAGAGTAATGACCTAGACTTAGACCTTAAGAATCACGGTCCTCTGTCTAAAGGGAGTGGAGAGTAATGACCTAGACTTAGACCTCAAGAATCACGGTCCTATGTCATAAAGGGAGTGGAGAGTAATGACCTAGACTTAGACCTCAAGAATCACGGTCCTATGTCATAAAGGGTGTAGAGAGTAATGACCTAGACTTAGACCTCAAGAATCAGTCCTATGTCATAAAGGGAGTGGAGAGTAATGACCTAGACTAGGACCTCAGGAATCATGGTCCTATGTCATAAAGGGAGTGGAGAGTAATGACCTAGACTTAGATCTCAAGAATCACGGTCCTATGTCATAAAGGGAGTGGAGAGTAATGACCTAGGCTTAGACCTCAAGAATCACGGTCCTATGTCATAAAGGGAGTGGAGAGTAATAACCTAGACTTAGACCTCAAGAATCACGGTCCTATGTCATAAAGGGAGTGGAGAGTAATGACCTAGACTTAGACCTCAAGAATCATGGTCCTATGTCATAAAGGGAGTGGAGAGTAATGACCTAGACTTAGATCTCAAGAATCATGGTCCTATGTCATAAAGGGATTGGAGAGTAATGACCTAGACTTAGATCTCAAGAATCACGGTCCTATGTCATAAAGGGAGTGGAGAGTAATAACCTAGACTTAGACCTCAAGAATCACGGTCCTATTTCGTAATGTAGCCTAGGGCTGTCAGGATTCCATTATCTTTCTGATCAGGTCAGTTCTAAATTTTTAGCTCTACTGGTCAGAGAACAGAAGAGCTTATGCGATAGTGATGCGTCCATCGTCCGTCTGTCTGTCTGTCTGTCTGTAAACAATTTTTCAAAATGCTACTCCTACAGTTTTGGTCCGATTTCAGTATGACTTGGCACACAAGTAGAGTACACTAAGATACATAATTCTGTGCATCGGTTTTTTATTTCGATGAACGATGTTGCCGTGGTTACTAAAAATAGAAATTTCTGAGAAATTCTTTCAAAATGCTACTCCTCCTACAGTTTTGGTCCGATTTTAATATAACTTGGCACACAAGTAGACTACACTAAGATACATAATTCTGTGCATGGTTTTTGATTTCGATGAACGGTGTTGCCGTGGTTACTAAAAATAGAAATTTCTGAGAAATTCTTTCAAAATGCTACTCCTCCTACAGTTTTGGTCTGATTTCAATATATCTTGGCACACAAGTAGACTACACTAAATAAGATAAATAAATCTGTGCATGGGTGTTTACTTTCGATGAAAAGTGTTGCCATGGTTACTAAAAATAGAAATTTCTGTGAAATTCTTTCAAAATGCTACTCCTCCTACAGTTTTCGTCCGGTTTCAATATAACTTGGCACACAAGTAGATACACTAAGATACATAATTCTGTGCATTGGTTTTTGCTTTCGATGAACGGTGTTGACATGTTTACTAAAAGAAATTTCTGTGAAATTCTTTCAGAATGCTACTCGTACAGTTTTGGTCCGATTTCAATATAACTTGGCACACAAGTAGACTATACTAAGATATATTATTCTGTGCATCGGTTTTTATTTTGATGAGTGGCAAGGATCATTTTTCTGTTTATTGCTGTTTTAAAGTCTCAAGTCCCAGCTGCTACTTTTCTCTTCCTTTGTTTTAAGTATAAACCAGTAGAGCTACAGTCTCGACAGAGACTTCTGGTTTAGGTTTGATTCCGGTTTTTGAGTTCAGGTATATAGTAGACTAAAAAATAAGTTTGTGCAAAAGTATGTTAGTAGTAAATAAAACTAAGTTTGTGCTGTTTTGCATAATTATATTTAACAATTTTTTTTTAATTAATTAATCTAACAAACAACAAAGTTAGATGAATTTTATAAATTTAATCCACTGGGGTTCAGTAAAGGGACATACCTTTCACTCTTTATAGTACGCGTTAAAGGTGCATGGGCTCAGATTTGAAGTTAATACTTTCTGTATAATATTACGACTTATATATTTTAATAGCATTTCACACAAAAATAAATTAAAAATCGTATTTCATCTAAAAGTTATTAAAACATCAAATTTTTAGACGGGTATGATTGACACATCTTTGCAATTTCATAAATTTAAATTTTATATTTAATACTTAATAAAAGTGGCAATCTTGGTGTGTAAAAATGAAAAATATTAAAACTATAATCCAGAAAATTCACAGTAGAAATGTTTGAAAGCAAAACATACACACAGTATATTGTCAGTCCGTGCAGTTATGGAGAGCTGGTTTTAACAATTGAATGCACCGGGTGAAACATCAACAATAAGAGAGCTTGTGCCCTGTTTACAAAAACTGTGTACATTTCACAGGTGTGATCAATTTGCTAAACTCTGTACACAACACTTAGCTTGGAATGACGATATTTGTGAAGGAGTTTTGCTTTCTAACATCTCTACTCTGATTGAAATTATTTTTCATGATTAAAGTTTTAATATATTTCATTAATACACAACAAAATTGCCCCTTTTCCCTAATATTAAGAACAAAAGTAAAATTTGTTAGAGTGCAAGGACGTTCCAATCAAACCCATCCAAAAATTAGAAGTTTCAAGTGAGCTTTTTCCGTTGTCTGTCGTTGTCGTCGTCGTTGTCGTCGTTAACTTTTCACATTTTCATTTTCTTTTCAAGAACCACCAGGCCAATTTCAACCAAACTTGCCACAAAGTATACTTGGGTAAAGAGAATTCAAGTTTGTTCAAATGAAGGGCCAAGTCCTCTTCCAATGGGAGATAATTATGAATTAAATGAAAAATTAATGGTATCTTTGAAAAATATATTCTTCTCCAGAACCACTGGACCAGGAAAGATGAAACTAATATGGAAGCATCATCAGGTAGTGTAGATTCAAGTTTGTTCAAATCTTGACCCTCGGGGGTATGGCGGGGCCACAATAGCTGATCAAAGTTTTACATATGAATATATGCGAAAAATCTTCTTCTCCAGAACCACTTGGCCAGGAAAGATGAAGCTTGTGTGGAAGCATCCATATGTAGTGTAGATTCAAGTTTGTTCAAATCATGACCTCCGGGGTAGGGCGGGGCCACAATGGCTGATCAAAGTTTTACGTAGGAATACTGTATACAGGGTTATTTTCGTCCCGCTTTATTTTCGCCCTTTCACACTTGCAAACAATTTTGCCCTGTTTTAAATAAGCCCAGTCACAGTTTTGTAAGAAATTATACTGTATTCTTTAAATTCACCCCTTTTTAATTTCGCCCAATTGAGGTCAGGGCGAAAGGGACGAAAATAAAACGGGGGCGAATGTTTCCCTGTATACTGAATATAGGAAAAATCTTTAAAAATCTTCATCTCCAGAACCACTGAGCCAGGAAAGATGAAAACCATCCTCCGGTAGTGTAGATTCAAGTTTGTTCAAATTATGACCCTGGGGGTAGGGCGGGGCCACAATGGCTGATCAAAGTTTTACGTAAGAATATATATAGGACATTTTTTTTTAAATCTTCTTTTCCAGAACCACTGGGCCAGGAAAGTTGAAATTCATGTGGAAGCATCCTCAGTTGAGGTTAACCTCTTCGTGACAGGCCTCATAACTGGTTTGGCAAACCTCAAATGGCCTTCCAAATTCCCTCTCTTACTGAACGAACAGGCGATGAATTAACAACAATGCTATATGCATAACACTTACACTCGTCTTCTCTCTTCGGCTGACACATCAACAATGACACAGACGACTGCAGAGTCTCGGTATATATACCCTATCAAAGTCACGTGATGTCAGCAATGACTAATTGAAAACTCTGCATGGCCATACCTTAAGATTCCGAAATCATTACACTATTAGATATTCATATCATGCATTCATTTACAGCAAACTTTTACATCAAATTAAAGCATCTAATTTGGATAGATATGATTTAATTTTTTTTCATTTTCTTTGAAAAAAAAAATCATATAAAATAATTAAGAACTAATATTGGTCTTTCAATGTTGAAACCATTGTTTAAAATGGAGGACAGAGATCTTTAAAATAAAAAGTTGGTGTGGCATATTCCTCCTTAATAACTGATTACTCTTAATAACGGGCAACAACTCTAGTTCACCTCAATTTGTTCTAAAATAGATCACAGGTGCTTGGGGACGGGACCCCCCCCCCCCTTCCGTGTTCCATACTCCAAGGGTTCTTTGACTTTTTTGATTAAAATGTTTTTCTATGACATATTTACAAAGTATTACTATTAAAAAATTTAAGCTAAAACTAGCCTTTTTTAAAAAATCCATACCCTCTGATACTAGTATATACATGTATGCTGGAAGAAGTCAGTCACCTTTGACAACTAAATTAGATCATCAAGAAATTTAAAAAGTCAAACAAAAATTTGCTCTAGATT